GCCAGCTGAGAATCCTGTAGAAAAGCACGTACTGTGACGAGGGCCTTTCTACCCCACCAGGACCTCACACTGAGCGATAAAACACCCGGTGACACAAAGTGCCACCATTCGGATGAGGGTCGCCGGCGGAGAGGTCCCAGAAACCCCGTTCAGTCGTTAGGTTATATTAGGGTCTCCCGCATTAGCCAGGGTGGGGCTTCGAAACAACGAAACATTCGTCCCGTATGGCGACGTGGAATACCAGGACATGCAAAATCCCGCAAACGGTACAATCTTGCAACAACAACAACAAAATCACAAAAATTTACTGACATCAAAACTGTATTTATGTTCTCTGCTGTATAATTCTTTACTTCAATGTAGCCGCAAGAGACATTTTATTGTCTTTTTTCTGCCATCCCCTTGCAAGGGCGATAAACACGTGGTGTTTTGGTTTACAGTTAGGCTGCATCATCTGCGTCTTTCGGCCCAACAGGTCTGATTTCAACAAATCCTTCATTATCCGTCTTCAGTGAGATACTTTTTTAGGTGGCAAAAGATCAAATCCCCCCCCCCCCAGCCCCAGCCCCCACTGTATCTGGTCCCGTCCCCCTCCAACTTCATCCCCCACTGTAGCTGCCCCCCCCCCCGCCCAACCCCAACACCCAGTGTAGCTGTTCCCACCCCCCCCCCAACTCCATCCCCCACTGAAGCGGTCCCACCCCCCAACTCCATCCCCCAGTGTAGCTGTTCCCACCCACCCTCCCCCCCAACTCCATCCCTCACTGTAGCTGTTCTCACCCCCCCCCTCCCCAAATCCATCCCCAACTGTAGCTGTTCCCACCCCCCCAACTCCATCCCCCAGTGTAACTGTTCCCACCCCCAACTCCATCACCCACTGTAGCTGTTCCCACCCCCCCCCCCCCCCCCAACTCCATCCCCCACTGTAACTGTTCCCACCCCCCCCCAACTCCATCCCCCAGTGTAGCTGTTCCCACCCCCCCTAACTCGATCCCCACTGTAGCTGTTCCCACCCCCTCCCTAACTCCATCCCCCAGTGTAGCTGTTCCCACCCCACCCCTCCCCCAACTTCATCCCCCACTGTAGCTGTTCCCACCCCCCCCCTAACTCCATCCCCCACTGTAGCTGTTCCCACCCCCCCCCCCAACTCCATCCCCCACTGTAGCTGTTCCAACCCCCCTCAACCTCATCCCCCACTGTAGCTGTTCCCATCCCCCCCCACCAACTCCATCCCCCACTGTAGCTGTTCCCATCCCCCCAACTCCATCCCCACTGTAGCTGTTCCCACCCACCCCCCCCCCCAACTCCATCCCCACTGTAGCTGTTCCCACCCACCCCCCCCCCCCAACTCCATCCCCACTGTAGCTGTTCCCACCCACCCCCCCAACTCCATCCCCCAGTGTAGCTGTTCCCACCCCCCCCCCCCCCCCCACAACTCCATCCCCACTGAAGCTGTTCCCACCCACACCCCCAACTCCATCACCCAGTGTAGCTGTTCCCACCCACCCCCCCCCAACTCCATCCCCACTGTAGCTGTTCCCACCCACCCTCCCCCCCAACTCCATCCCCCACTGTAGCTGTTCCCACCCCCCCCCCCCCAACTACATCCCCCACTGTAGCTGTTCCAACCCCCCTCAACCTCATCCCCCACTGTAGCTGTTCCCACCCCCCCCCCAACTCCATCCCCACTGTAGCTGTTCCCACCCCCCCCCCCCAACTCCATCCCCCACTGTAGCTGTCCCCCCCACCCCCCCCCCCAACTTCATCCTCCACTGTAGCTGTTCCCACCCCCCCCCAACTCCATCCCCCACTGTAGCTGTTCCCACCCCCCCCAACTCCATCCCCCACTGTAGCTGTTCCCACCCACCCCCCCCCCAACTCCATCCCCCAGTGTAGCTGTTCCCACCCCCCCCCCCAACTCCATCCCCCAGTGTAGCTGTTCCCACCCCCCAACTCCATCCCCCAGTGTAGCTGTTCCCACCCCCACCCAACCCCACTGCAGCTGTCCCACACCTTCCCCCAACTCCATCCCCCACTGTAGCTATCCCCCCCCCCCCAACTCCATCCCCCACTGTAGCTGTTCCCACCCCCCCCCCCAACTCCATCCCCCACTGCAGCTGTCCCACACCTTCCCCCAACTCCATCCCCCAGTGTAGCTGTTCCCACCCCCCAACTCCATCCCCCAGTGTAGCTGTTCCCACCCCCACCCAACCCCACTGCAGCTGTCCCTCACCTTCCCCCAACCCCAACCCCCACTGCAGCTGTCCCACACCTTCCCCCAACCCCAACCCCCACTGTAGCTGTTCCACCCCCACCCAACCCCCACTGCAGCTGTCCCTCACCTTCCCCCAACCCCAACCCCCACTGCAGCTGTCCCACACCTTCCCCCAACCCCAACCCCCACTGTAGCTGTTCCCACCCCTCAACCTCATCCCCAACTGTATCTGTCCCCCCCCCCTCCCCCTCTAAACCCCATCCCCACTGTAGCTGTTCCCACCCATCCCCTCCAACCCCACCCCCAACTGTAGCCCCCCCCCCCCCCCAGGAAATCCGCACAGAGAAAGAGATGTATCTTAAAGCACACCGCACATCGGCCATGTACTCAGAATGGATAACACAAAACTCCCCCATCAAGCCCTAATATGGACACTGGATGGGAAAAGAAAACGAGGAAGACCAAGAGAGACCCGGCGTAGAACCATCATCAGGGAGGGATCAGACATGGGCCTAACAAATATCCAAGACTTGAAACAGTTGGCAACGAACCGGAAACATTGAGAGCTATGACCTCTTCCCTATGCGCCGCTCTAGGCTCAAGAGGAAAACAATTAGGTAAGGTAAAGGGGAAATGATTGACTTCATTGTACCGGGTTTTATGCCCTATGACTGTCTCTCTCAGCAGAACAGCTAGCTGCCTGAAGAGAGAGTTGCACAAAGCACGAACTCAGTAGATCCGGTGACGGTCCTAATGGATAGTTCAAAAATTGTCCTGAATTGAACGGCATCGCCGTGAAATGAAACCACCACCTTCAGAGCGCGGGGCAGGAGAAAAGATTAAATAACCAACTAACACTGCACCACCCTACCGTCTTCGGACTTCAGGGGACTTTGAAACCGTTATGGGTCCCCATATAACTTTGCGGTTGAACGGGTTTCTGTGGTTTGTACCTAAACGATGTCATCAAACAGTGACTCTTTGGGCCTGTTTCAACGATATATTTTCAGTTGTTTGATGGTTTGAACAACAGATCAATATCAAGTCACAACGATAGTAAACCATAAGTGTCCCGTTCTACTTCTAACTAAAGCCTGAGTCCGAAGAATCTTAGCGCAGTGTACGAGCTTCGTAGCACCGGCGAGGATCCTGAAATATTTTGGGTAGATTTTAAACTCCAGATTTTTGCCCTGGCAGCGCCGTTAGGCTACTCTTTTTGATTTCCAGCTGCCAAGGGTTTTGTTCTACAAGCGCAACAATACACACAGGCCACCGATCTTACCACCCAGAGACCAGGTTTAAAAAAAAAATTCCAGCCTTTACTAAGGCTTGAACCCAGGACATCCAGCACTCGAGGTACACGCCATGACTCGAGACCCCCCCAAGTCTCTCCCCCCCCCCCCCCCCCCTCCCCAATTAACTGTACCCAGCAGGAAGCGAGCGAGAGAATTTTGTTGTAATTGAATGACGTTTTAATCTAATTTCCTCTTCTCATCCTTCAGTACACATTTTAAAAGTTTTTTATCATTTTGTCATTTGTGGTTAACCATATACCCCTACGTCATCAGTCAGCGCGTGGTATTTATATTAATCTGACAAATAACGGAATTCAAGTGGGAGAACCACAAAAAGCTCTACAAACTTGTCACCCTACTTCAGCGTTTCCCACTTGGTTATCTGTAATCTACGGAAGCCCGTGGCACAAATGAAAACGGTCAGTGATTTTTTTTTTTTTTTTTTAATACCTCAACTTTAGAATGCAACATGTTTTGCGATACGAATGTTCAAAAATTATGGTAAATTTGTCAGAATGACTGTTACAAAGTATGTGTACTGCGGTAGACCTTGTGTTGAAAAAAAAAAAAAAAAAAAACATGTCCGTGTGTTTTACCTATATGAGAACCACTGCAATAACTCTAGAACACCTTTTGACAAAATTCTGTTAGCTTTTCTTTCATTTGACAACCGCACATTATTTGTGTAACGAGCCGTTATGTTACGTTCATATCATTAAAATATTCAGTACTTTTTAATGTTACATTGAAGAATTAAAAAAAAGGTATTTCCATGCAGCAGTTGGCAGACATAACTGTGTGGTGTGTGTGTGTGTGTATGTGTGTGTGTTATGTAATGATATGTTATCACAAACTACGTCCAAATCATTTGATTGCGCATTCCCATGCGTGCTCAGTTTTCCGATGCAGCAGCCACTCCAAAGTACTTCTACTAATTGTTCCCAGGAGAAGCTGGTTATATTGTCTTCTATCTCGGCCTCGAAGACGGCATTGACGTGCTTCACCATGCTTTACTCTTATGCTACGCAATCGTGTTAGTGTCAGGGATTCCTCATTATTCACTAGCCCAGTCCGTACAGCGTTGGCGATATCTGCTTTGTCCGTGCTTTTTCCCGTAGTCCTTAGTGCAGTGCTTGCCAGTTGGTCTGCTCGCCCATTTCTCTTAACGCCTGCATGACCCGGTGTGTAGATCCAAGTGAGGGAGGCTAAGTGCAATTTCTATCCATTCTGAGCGCATGCCGTCTATGTGTGTGTGTGTGTGTGTGTGTGTGTGTGTGTGTGTGTGTGTGTGTGAGTGTGTGTGTGTTAAATTTATTATTTCATAATCCAGAAATCAGTTTTGAAATATGAATTATCCTTTTTTTCCTTGCTCGCTCTGTTGTGAACTGTGTGAACCTTTACGTATGTTGATTTTGTGAAATACCCAACTCCAGAGCATGTGTTTTAAAATAAAATAAGTCAAAAAACATAACTACCAGTGACACACTTACCCAACGAATGGCTCACAACTGTTGACCCACATACACCAAGAGCACCAGATTTCATCAATGACAGAGCCTCTAGTCATGTCAATAATATCTGATGGTCGAGCTGGCAACATGAACTGATCTCCAACTTCTCCTGGTTCGAACATCGCCATGATTTCCTAATAAATAAAATAAAAAGCTTAAATGAGTCATTAAACGGGTTTCAGTTTCAAACAACAATATGCTATCTCGTTGTTACGTTTGTGTAGTTCATTTATGTTTGAAAAAGGCTGCCCGGCCGAAACGTTAGGTTGTGTTGTTTTGTGCACGTTTTTCTGCTTCTCCATTTTGTTAAGCCTTTTAGTCTAATTTCTCTGGAATTCCTATGTTTAATACAGAAGTAAAATCTTTTTTTTTTTTTTTTTTTTTACGTAATAAAGCATACTGGTGATGTGGTAAAGTAAGCACAAGGGAAATGCTGAACACGCAATGACGGCGATCGAGACAACATAACAACATAATGTAGAGCTCTCACGGAACAATGATGCGCAATACAAGATTTAATATCTCTTCGCCTTTCTTGTTCAAAAGCTAATCTCGTCTTCATAAGGTGGACCCTGTTTGTTCTCGGATGTACTCCAATGGATGAAAGGCTGAGGCTTCAACCCACAGCGGGAAAACCGGATGGAATAACAGACGAGCGAAAAGTTAAATCCGGGTCCATATGCCATCTACTAAATTGAGTGCATGGTGCGACACTGTGCGCTGTAAGTTTCATGGAAATGTGTGTTGTAAAGTGCATATTCAGAAAATGACAAGTGGCTGGTTGCCACAACTACTGGCTTGCGGGACTGTTGCTTCTATCAACTATGAACAATAAATGTAGTGACAGACTGTAGGTTTTGGCACCTCTGGCGGCTGCTTTATGTATTAGATGTGTGTGCGATCTGCTCGATAGTGTCGGGACTGCTGTCTATTTGGATATCACTTGGGACAGTGATAGGCATTTTGCAGAGAAATGGAGCAATTGTGAAGTTCAACCCTGACAGATATCGCCTGCTATTAACTACATAATGTACGTACAGTGGGAATGACCATTGTTAAGTGAGTGCGATTGTGATACCAAACATAACAACGTAATGTAAATAGAGCGAAAATGACCGTTAAGCTGTGACGTCGATTGTGATAACACACACGGGATCCTTTGATATGTTGTTTGTACATCCGACATATGGTGTTCGATCCATTTTTTTATATACCAATCGACACGTAATGGATAATGGGGTCAAAATCGTGTTGACAGTTTTTAATTCCAGGATTTTTCCTGGTACCCAATTTAAGCTACGTCCACCTGAGAGGCAAAGGACTCCATCTTTTCGCACCTTCAGAGGTATTAGGCGTACAGTGCTAGATCTATGTTTTATAGATCAGTATCAACATCACGTCAACCGCCTTTGCTTCCCAGATCTTCCTTTGGTATCATATTTTAAAGGCTGAATCGACCTGGGAGTCAAAGTCCTTTTTGAACAAAGTCTTGTTCCGCTAAAGAGATAATGTCGTTGATTACCCCAAAAAAACTAACTCGATGAACACTTTTTGGTTCTTTAAAAAAAAAATAAAAACGGTAAAAGAGGCACAGTAATTGCAAAGTTAACGACTGACAAAACTTAAGATAATCTTACCGTAAACTGGAGTTCAGCAATTCTTCCAAAAGTTTTCTGGTGGCATGCTTTCTTCCTGTAACTTCCTTACTGAAAATCCTCCAACAACACATTACACATGAAGTGCTTCTTCTTTCAACAGCTCTTTCTTAAGAATCTAAGGCATTTCTTTCTTGTATTCATTTTTTTCAAATGGCAAGTATTCCTAGAACCGCTCATCATTATGTATAAAACTTTCCATTTGAAGTAAATCTGCCTTTTTTCTTTCATGTAAAGACTAAACCGGGCATCAGATTCGCGCAGAGGTCGGATGTGTCGACCAAAAGGCGCAAAACTCGCAGCTATGTTATGAACGGACACAATGCAATCACATGTTCACAGCTATGTTATAAGCGGGCACAATGCAATTACATGTTTAGATGAATGCAGAAGAAGAAGAATATTTCTTCCTAAAGTTGCAAATTTTCTTCTTGACCTTTCCCCCACTTTCCACAATAAGATTACACACGAAGTAAACCTTCCTTGAGAAATTCTTCCTAAAGTGTCTGGAGACATCTCTTTCCCGATCGTTTAGCACGATAAATCCAACAAGGGGAATATTTTCTAAAGCATATCAGTAAATTTGAAGTAAATCTTATTTCAGAAGTAACTTTTAAAGGAAAATTAAGCATTTTTTCCAATACTTTTACTTATATCAAATCTTTCCATGGTGCCATCTTTCCGAACTAGTCTTCACATAAAGAAATATTTGCAATCTTCAGTTTTAGTATCTCTCAGCTGGTATTCCTTCATCGCATTCTATTCTCCGTTAAAATGCAAATTCTTGGTATAGACATTCATTGTTGAAATACAATCTTTCTTGATCAAATCTCATAAACTTAGACATGCCTCAAATACATTTCTAGTGGTATCAAATCAATAAGGAGCCGTCTCCGTAATGAAGATTGCCTGCAATGGATCTCTAGCAAGCTCTTTCTTTCGTCCTCCATGTAGACTGTCTTAGATTTCTGCTCGTCCATTTTTTGATTTTATCCTCCCACTTGTAGCGATGTTTGCTTCCTGCTCGCTTGCCTTAAAACCCCCCCCCCCTCCCTCACCCCTTAATTGTTTTTATAAGCAATTTATGTCATTCAATGAAGCCGAAATATTTAAATTTTTAGCTTTTTATTTATTTAAAAAAAAAATTAATATTAGAGATTTCATTTAATTCCTATTCCCTTTAGAACACCTGTATTTAATTGCTTTTAAAACTAGGGCATATTCTTCAGTGTGTCCATATATCCAAAGAGGCGATTATATTTCACAGTTGCTGGTTCTTTGTTCAGGGGTTTGCACCACACATAAGTGTTCTATGTAAGCCATAAGTAGAAAATTTTATTGTTTTTAAATCATCTCGAAGGTTATGTATTCAAAGAGTGTCTTTCCACTTTATTTGTAAAGTCAATTCTTTTACTGTCAGCAATATTTAATGTTTTTGAAGTTACTGTATCCAGAGAGTCATATTTCAATAGAATCATCTTTCCCAGATTTTTATCAAGAAACCATGTTGTAAACCTTTTGGTTCGGTACTACGGGTATCGCAACCCTTCGGCCTTGATTCCATGAAAGATACCATAAATCTAGGAAATTCATGGCTTGTCTGCCTACTCTAGAGCGTGAACTCGGACCACAAAGAGTTTTACCCGTTCGACATTCAGCTAGTGTAATTAACTTATCTAGCGCGCCGATCATCTTTCCATATTAAACATTTAAAACTATGTTGCATTATCTTGGGATGTTTCCGTATAAAACGCATAACATTATTTTACATTCTCTTGTGGTTGCTGCGTTGATAGATCGTACTTCTATATTTGATGAATGGGATTATGTGGTGTTGTAGATTACGTGAAAATAAAATCATCATTCCAAATCCGATTACACCTCGGAGTGTGCTCCCGTGACAATACAAACATCTTTCTTCACTTGCTTCAGTACACAAGTTTAAAGCATTAGCGCCACTTACTTATCAACAAAATAATCTTTTCACTCTGACTTTAAAACATTGCTGCATATTTTGAGATTTCAATTGTCACTATAATCATCTGTCACACATCAGTGTTAATAATTCGTTGAAATATTGTTGTATGCCCCTTTCTTTCTTTCCAGACGATAGTGTTATATTGCATGAGGAGGCTTGGGACTCACAGCCCATGGCTATGGCGAGTGTGACTATCAAGATCCGCGTGCGTTAAGAAAACTATTCTACTAGAGTATGGGATTTCATGACGGTTGCTGCATCACGCGTATGTAAATTCATTAAAATATATTCTTGTATTTAATGTATGAATATAATCATCGGCCCTCGCTGTTTCTAAGACATCTTTTTATTCTGTAATTTAAATCATCAATAGAAACCTCTTTCCACATTTGTTTTAATACTTTGTTTAATAATATTCTCGTCTTTGATATATGAGAACCTTCAGTTTGTTCACATTTGTGTAGTCCTTCGTTGCAAATATTCTTGTCTTTCATATATGAGAACATTCACTTTTGTCACATTTGTTTAGTCCTTCGTTGCAAATATTCTTGTCTTTGATATATGAGAACATTCAGTTTTTTCACATATGTGTAGTCTTTCGTTGCAAATACTCTTGTCTTTCATATATGAGAACATTCAGTTTTTTTTCACATATGTGTAGTCCTTCGTTGCAAATACTCTTGTTTTTGATATTTGAGAACATTCAGTTTTTTTCACATATGTGTACTCCTTCGTTGCAAATACATTTGTCTTTGATATATGAGAACCTTTAGTTTTTTTCACAAATGTGTACTCCTTCGTTGCAAATACTTTTGTCTTTAATATATGAGAACATTCAGTTTTTTCACATTTGTTCCTACGTTGCAAATACTTTTGTCTTTAATATATGAGAACATTCAGTTTTTTCACATTTGTTCCTACGTTGCAAATACTTTTGTCTTTAATATATGAGAACATTCAGTTTTTTCACATTTGTTCCTACGTTGCAAATATTCTTGTCTTTGATAAATGAGAACATTCAGTTGTTTCACATTTGTGTAGTCTTTCGTTGCAAATATTCTTGTCTTTCATATATGAGAACATTCAGTTTTTTCACATTTTTGTAGTCCTTCGTTGCAAATATTCTTGTCTTTCATATATGAAAACATTCAATTTTTTTCACATTTGTTCCTTCGTTACAAATACTCTTGTCTTTGATATATGAGAACATTCAGTTTTTTTCACATTTGTGTAGTCCTTCGTTGCAAATATTCTTGTCTTTGATGTATTAAATAGGTTATTCTGAAGAGGTTGCAACATATTCGTTTATACAATACCGCAGTTTAATCAATCACCATTTCCCCGATTGTGGCGGAATTTTATTACAACAAGATTCTTGAATTTCATACATAAATGGAATCATCCTTCTAAGCTCGTGTAGACATATGACTGAAACACATACTTGTACTGATTGTATCAACAAACTCATCTTTCATCACTTATAATGATACACTTTAGTAAC